CAGGGCTCCTTTATTTTACTTAGAGGAGGATATTTCTACCTTTCTGAAAGGGCACTGATATATGCTGTGTTTCCTCATTATGTAAACCTGTTGGCACAGAGGAGGTTCAGAATTAAACCATTTCCCTATAGACACATTGAGAAAGATATTAGCCAGCTTTAGTAAGCTTACTGTAATTTTAAGTTCAGAGCTGCTGGCAGGGTGTTCAATGGGTAAAAGCACTGAATCCTTATTTCTCCATTATCCCAAGCATTCCTCTTACTGGTAATATTGTTTTAATGAATCATTGGATCTTGCTGCTCCCTTGGTAGAATGTTTCATCTTTCAGAGTGCTGATATAAAAGATCTCTGCTGCCAAAAACATACAAAAACAGTCCTTCAGAAACTACACACAAAATTAAAATGTGACTGCAGTGCTGCTTGGGGCTAAAGGAAAAGCTTGGCACTTAGATTGAGTTTGAAGCCTTCATTCTAGACACTCGTTGCCTTTTTATATATTATTCCTTGATGCACGTCAGACCTAGTACATATCCTCCTAGAAGAGAGGGCGTTAAGTAAGTCTGTCTTTTTTTTTTTCTCTGTTTTGCATGCTGACTCTTCCAACTGGGTTTATTACTAAACCCCTACAACAGCAGGTGGCAACCAAGTGCATGACCCTTGACACTAAGCTGTTCCCTTAACTTTCAAACCTCTCTCAAGCTGCTTTTCAAATAGTAGAGTTCACTATTCTTGACTTTATGGAAACAACTCCATTTTTCATATACCCCCATATCGTATCTGTGAAGTTTTGATAATATTCTCTGCATTCCATATAGAAGCATAATGTTAGAAAAAGGATATAGCGTTGTGTTAATTTTCTTACTTCTTCATTTGCAAGGTTCTGGAACATTATAAGGTTTTCACATTTGCATTGATCATGTTTTTCTTCCAAAGGGCGTCCTGAGAAAGCAGATGGAAATTATTCACCTTATAATCCACCAGACTTCCCAGACAACAGTAGGACTGAATCAGCATATAGAGGAAACCGTAATGAAAGAAATGGTCAACTTGTTCCATGCAGGCAGATCCAGTAAAGTAAATACCAGGAAAGGGCTGTGTATGCTTCCAGCATGGGAAGTGGCTTTTATCGTGGGTTAGGGAGGAAGACTACTTGGTTTCTTTTATTTTTCAGTCCTCATTTTACTTCTCTTTTGACCTTAGTTCCTAGTTCCCCTTTCCTTGCCTTCATTAAACTTGGTTTGCTGACAAGCTGAAAGGCTAGTGTCAGGTTACCTTATGGTAATATTATACTTGAAATTACCTGAAACTTTGGTTGACTGGGAAAGTTTTTGTGTAGACCATGAAAGATTGTCTTCAAACAAATATCTGTGTTGCACTGCAAAATTAGAACAGGAAAGTAGGTCTTGGATATTTATGGTGACTGGCTCAGATTCTGTAAAGAGAAGGAAAACTGAAGTCAAACCTGCCTAACACTGTTGTGGTAATAAAACAGCCATCCACAGAGTATGGTACTTGTATTTCTAGCACTTGGTACAGAGCTTTAGTTTGGGAAGTATTGTGGCAAAAAGACTATCAGCAGAGTTAACAAACTATGGCTTAAAGCACACAGTAACTGTGTGGCATCTGATTGAGGGGAAAAAAAGCTATAGTTAACATAAATCTTACTTTCACTTCTTTACAACTTTTGTAGGGGAAACCATAGTGGAGTCATCCATTGATGGTTCTGAAAACAGGTCTTTAAAGTTTACCTGTTGGCTGGTGCAGCCTCTTTGGCATTTCCCCTGCTGGGGAGTCCTGACTTCCATCAGAGTCTTCCAAAGCTGAGAGGAAAAAGGATCAAAAGGAGTGACAGTTGTCCAGATCTGTAGGAAGTTGGTCTCAGGCCAACTCCTTACTGACCTGTCATAACTTAGGGTAGTTTGGTTTGGCAACACTAAAGATTCAAAAAAGCAATCAGTTATAGCAGTAATCCAAGACCACTGTCAGGCAGTTCTCTCTAGTAAGAGAAGCCTGGACCCCTTAAGTCAGTTTTAAGAATGCCCCAGAAATGTCATATTATAGGGTCAGGCAGGAAAAAAAAAAAAAAGCTGTGCAGTGGCAGCAGGTCCACTATAGGCATTTCAACTTGAAGACAAAACTTGATCTACCCTCATCAGAAAGCTGGAAGGCCTTCCTCTCCAGTTCCTTTCATTTTAGTCTTTGCTTCCAGAAGGGAAAGACACAAAACTTAGTCTGGC